GAAACAAGGCTTTGTGCTGCCTTGTGTATGATGGAACAGCAGCTGACTTTCAGGACTCTGCAAAGAGATGTCTTCCAACTTTGGTCCCTGGAAAAAGTATGTCTCAGCTAGTGGGAATGGCTTATTGTTTACAAATAGCAGGCAGATCAAACAATTGCCTTTTTTAATGTTCTGCGATGAGCTGCTGAGATGGGATGGGGTATTTGAGGGGAAAGCCAGCTTGCTGTGGCTTGTGATGGTGCCATCAGGATTTGGTGTTCCTGAAGACCCTTGGTGACTTTGGCTTTGCTGGTAGTTTGGGATCAGCACCTTCTTCTCATATTGAGGGGCTTTCCCTAACCCTGCGTTGGAGCAGATGTTGCTGTACCAATAGGCAGAGGCAGTGACAGGCTGCAAAGAGGACTCTTCTTGAGGTGAGGACCTCAACAAAAGAGTTCTGCTTCGTTTCCACTTTGCAGCCATCTGAAAGTCACATAGAGGTTTCAGGGCTCATGAGGCTTTATTTTGTGTCCAACCCATAGCATTTACCTAACTAGACAGAGCCCTCAGGCTTCTGCCTCTTCTGTGAGACGGCAGGGAAGCTTGGAGAATGAGTGGTAAAGCTTGTTCTTTGCATTGGAGTGGTGGCCTGGGACCCTGGTAGTGGAGTCCAGAGCCCTGGTTTCTCTTCTTTCTCTTTCTTGCTGTGTGGACCTTGGGCAGTCTTCTCTTCTAGGGCTTCTTTTTCCCTGGTGGCTTCTTAGCTTGTCTTTTACCTTTGACAGTCTGGTTTTCACGGAAGGTACTCTGGCAGTAGGGATGCATTCGTTAGATTGAAGATTATAACTTTGAAAAGTATGCAATTTATTTGTCTTTCTCAGACTATTTTTTAGCTGCTTAAGACAAACCCTGGTATTGAGTGAGTTCCAGATAGGCAGTCTTTGTTGTTGCTTCTGCAGTTTAGGTGCTTGAGATTTGATACTATGAGTCAGACCTGGTCAGGGAACTGAAAAGGTTACTGCTCTTAGTGGTCCAGGTGCATCGAGTCAGTTGGGTTAAGAATCTGCCTCTGGTACCTTGGAATTTCCCTGGAATGTACCCTAGCTTGTCAATCTAACTTTTAATGGCATGGATTGAATTCAGGGATGGTATCAACCTAGAGATTCTGAATCCGTGTGGCTGGGGAGGTGGAGTGGGAGTAGACCATATGTTTCCTGATGGGCTTCTCTTTTTGTCCCATCCCTGAGGCTCCCTGGCCTGTGTATGTGAATGTTGAAGAATGACCCTTCCCTCCACCCTCCCTTTCCCCTCTCGTAATGGAGGCTATAAAATGTCTATTTACCCAAGACACCAGAACGACTCCTCTGTGGTCCCACTAATCTGGTGATTTGGTGCTTCTTTAGTCTCTCAGGTAAATACAGATTGAGTCTTTTTATAAAGGCATATTATTTCCCTCATTAAATGTGTGTCTTGGCACATGTGTTATTTACCTGATAGACAGTAATGCCTGCAGAGGAGCCATTGGTGTCTGTTGTGTAAATACTCTGCACAGAGACCATCCTCCAGGGGCTGTGGTGCAGGCCTGTTCTCCAAATCAGGCTGGCCCCAGGGCTGTCCCTATTTATCCCTCCCTTGTTCCCACTGGGGGCTGATCCCCTCATTTTGAAGAAAGAATCATTCATTTTCTCTCTTGCCATAGGCTGCTTACTACTTGTAATTTGCTAGGAGAAGGAAAAAGATGTCTGAGAATAAATGTTTGTATAAACCTTGATCTCTGGTAAAAGATAGTTTGTAGAAATACAGAGAATTATAAACTTTTTTTGAATCTCACCCCTCTACTAGATACTTAAAAGTCTCCATCTGTGTTACAAGGCGTAGATTTATATTCTGTAAACCTGTAACTAAAATATAAAGACATCAATAAAAAAGAGATGTTCTAAGCTACTAGGGGTACAAGAGCTGCTGCAGGGAGTATGGGAGTATTTCTTAAGAAGGCTGTAGGGGGCCCACAGTGCCAGTGAGGTGGGTGTTGAGTGGGGGCTTTTCTCATGGAGACCTGGCTGGAGAGAGTGAGAGACTCTTTGGGCTGAGGTATGCTTTGAGGGTTGCCTCTGGGAGAGCACCTTCAGTGGGCACTATGGGGAGACCTCTCCCTCATATACCACCTGTTTTTTGTTTTTTTAAATCACGTTGCATGTGGAATTTATTTTATTTACTTATTAGTGTTGAAGATCAAACCCAGGGTCTTATGCATGCTAGGCAAATGCTTTATCATTCCCAGCTATACTCCCAGCCCTGCATATGAATCTAAAAATAATTTTTTAAAAGTTTAAAACAGCCCAAATTTATATAAAAGTTGGAAGTACAGTACAAATAATTTTTTCCTGAACCATTTGAAGGTTAAGGTCCCAAACTAATGCCCGATCACCCTGAATACTTTGCATGTATTTCCTGCAAGGATGTTTTCTTATCTGACCATTGTACAACCATCAGAATCAGGAAATTAATATTATACATTAACTCTAGCTAACTCACAGATCCCATTCAAATTTTGCCACTTGTCCTAGGAATATCCTTTAAAGCATTTGTGGAATATCTTTTAAAGCATCCTTAAAGCATCTGTGGTTCAGAATTGTGAATTGTATTTAGTTATCAATTCTCTTCAGTCTCCTTTAGACTTTCCTCAGTAAACTTACCTTGACTTTGGTGATCTTGCTATTTTTGAACATTACAGGCTGGTAGTGTAGATTGTGCCTCAATTAGAGTTTGTTTGATATTTTCTCATTAGATTTAAGTTATGCCTCTTCAGCTGGAGTGTCACAGAAATGATGCTTTCTTTTTCTAAATGCATCCTTTTAGATAGCATGCAATTTTGATTTATCCAATTATTAATGATTTTGTTGTTGTTGTTGTTTTGGCTTTTTTTGAGACAGTCTTGCTGTATAGTTCAGGCTGGCCTTGAATTCACTATGTAGCCCAGGCTGGCCTCAAACTCACAGCAATCCTCCTGCCTCAGCCTCTCAAGTGCTGGGATTACAGGTGTGCACTACCATGCGCACATGCCTGGAATTGATGTTTATTTTTGATCAGTGGATTAAAGTGATGTCTGCTAGGCTTCTCCATTATAAGATTACTTCCTGTTATAATTGGTAAGTAATTTGTGGGGCGATACAGTACAATGAATCTATTTAAATATCCCTTGATAAAATTTAGTTATATTTATTTATTTATGGACTCATTGTTTCTAAGTTGCTTCAGTGCCTTATTTTCCATTATGCCCATTATTTATTGGTCAGTGGGAGTCCCTTTGAGGTGTCTTTGTGTCCTTTTGGTATGTTCCCATACTTCTTTGAGCATTTCTCGCTTTCTGGTAGAACAGGATGTTCCAAGCTTGTCTTGTACTTTTAACCTACCACAGTCTGGAATCAGCCATTTCTCCAAGGAGTTCTGGTTCTTTCAGTGGAGAATGGTATTTAGAAGGCAACAAAGTGTTAGGTGTGGTCATTGCTATTGAGTGTTGCTGGTCTCTGACTATTCTTTAGACAGAGCTGAAAAATTTATATGCATATGTGGATCTATTTGTGTGTGAGAACAGATATTCCTCATTTAACAGCGTACCTGTTTAACTGCTGTTCGGACTTGTGACTGAGGCATGCTGTTTGGACTTAGAACCTGCTACTCAGACTTACAACCTGTCTTTTTTTTTTCATGCGTTTCTGTACCTCTTGTTTATAGAGCCTCAGTGTCTTTTTTTTGGTACAGTACATCTTGTGTTATAATTTTTGCTGGTTGTACTGTACATTACAGTACTATATTTTTATGTTCTGTTATACAGATAAAAGCAAAGTCATCAAGTTGGAGTTTCCTTTGACTGTTTCTTCATTCTGAATATTGTAATGTACATACTATATATATATATATATATATATATATATATATACAGTTCCTTATTTAGCAACCAGTTCACCTAATGACCTAGACGCAGGACTGGAACTTGGTTGTTAAATGAGGAATGTTTATATATATAAATATACATACAGTATTTATATTTACATCTACAATTATATATCCATATATGTATCAGAAACCATGAGATCTCACTCTTAACTGCCAATTTCAATCTCTCATCACAGATTTTCTTTATTTCCATATTTTAAGTCATTTCCCTAACAGCGAGAAACTTGGTTCTCGTTATCCTTGATATACACACTTTGCTCAGTTCCTCCGTATTTAACTCATCTCCCGTTGCTGGCCACTGTCCTTTACCCTTCATGATTGCCTCTTTTATACATTAGACCACCCTCATTGTGAATGCCCTCCACACCCACCCTTGGTCTAACATGTTTTTACAGCTTCCCACCTCTTCATAGATGCCGCCTTCACCCTGCCTGGGCTCTGACGCACCCCTTACCCTTTTGGCTCTCCCAGCTGGTACAGATACTTGCTTTCTCCTGCTGCATTTAATGGCTTTAGGATTGAATTTTTTTCAGGAAAGAGAAATAGCTACTCTCTTTCTTCACTTGGGCTGAATTTGGGTTGTTATAAGTCAAGGAAGTATGGGACCCAGTGACTACTGACATGTGGAGGGTTAGCTTCCTAAGGTCTGTTCTTAAGATTTTTCTAAAAGAGATGCTTTTTGATGTAGGTGAAATCAGGTGGGAAAACAAGGCTTATAGGCAATAAGACCTCTAGACATCAATGTGTTGTCCATAGATGAGTTAGGAGATAGATAGATACATAGATAGATAGATAGATAGATAGATAATGGAATGACCTAGGGGAGGTCTAGAGCAGGAGATGTTGATGTAACTCCGTATGATGCCTTACATATTATTGGACTTAGAGACTCCAATTATGGGGATCCAGGATCGGCCAGGTTGGCATAGCCAATTGGATAGTAGTAGTTATAATATTAAGCTAATATTTTCTGAGCCGTTAGATGCTAGACACTTTTTAGTGCTTTACAAGTGTTGTCTCATTTCATTCTTAAAGTAGGTACTGTTACTATTGTCATTTTACAGGAGAGGAATTGAACAGAGCTTGCCCAAGGTGCTGTGGTTGGTAAGTGGTAAAGTCAGGACTGAAACCTGGAAGCCTTTGTTCATCGAGAAGCTTAATTGCCTGGGGTATTTGGCAGACAGGGTCAGGTTGACTATATATACTATATTTACTGTAGACAAATTGAGAAACATTAAGAGTTTTTAAAAGTCCTTGTACATGGTCTGACTTTGAGGAATTTGAGAAGAGTTCTAAGGCTGGAATGGGTGAGTGAGCACACTCATGTTCCATCTCAGTAAGGTTTCCCTTACTGTTCAGGAGTAGGTGAAGAGATGAGTTATTTTGGATTCTGACTTTCAAAGAGATATTGCCTTTGTCTACCTGGGCTGAGGAGTTTGGGCTGCTTTTGCAGGGAGGCTCTAAGGCAATGGTAAAAAGCGTTGTGCCTGTGCAGGATCCATGAAGAACATAGTTAAGATTTCTTTTGGTCTGCACACAGTCCCCATGACATCTTAGTATAGGGATAGGGAATTTGAATACCCACACTAGCATATATCTTGATAACTATGCAGGCAAATGACTGTGACTCATTTAGTGAGTCATGAGAGAGCTGAGAAGTGATACCTGGTATTGTCCTTTTCTGCTCAGGTAGTAGTGAAGTTCAGTGCCTTTGAGTATGTCCTGGAATTCACAGGGCACTGCCCCCCAGCCTGTGTGGAGGGAGCCTGGTGCTCACTTGCTTCCACTCAGAGGCAAGCCTTTGGTTCTGTGGGAAGGGTACTTCAGGAAGCATAAACTGGCCATTTCTGTATTGGGTGGTAAGATTTGGTGTTTGAGGATTAAAGTTAAGGGAAATTTGAGTATTGAGTATAAAACTGGGAAGGACACATAATTTCTACTTTTTTCCTTTTGAGGGAGGGTGCTGAAGTTATTTGTGAGTAAAACTTAGACTTTGATTTTTATATAGTATTTAGTCCTCTGATGAACAGACATACTGCAAATTTAAAGGGAAAATGTACAGGAAAAGTGATTGGAATTTTTTCTTTTTCTTTCTTTGTTTTTTTTGCACATGTTCACTCAGAACACTTTACTAGACTTTTAGCAATGCTCCCATTACTGCCACATCTGGGTTTTCTCTTTTTCCTTCCCTATTTAAAAAGTCTCACAGTTGTTCAGGGCCATTCATGGCCCCTAGGAGAAAGTGAGACTCAAGGCCGAAAATGAGGAGGCCTGAGGCTGTTGCCAGCTGCGCTCTCCAGGCCTTGTTCATCTATCGCCTCAGGGTGTTGCTGGCTAGTGTGGGGGTTGGGGAATCCCCAGAGTGTCCTAAGCCCACTCCTCTGGGATTGACTTTATTTGCTTTTACACTTTCAGGTTGGGAGAAGGGAGGAAGGTGTATGGAGATATCAGACACAGACAGGAGAGCCAAGGGCACATGGCAGGCAGTGGAGCTGAGGAGAGAGCTGTGGGCATTTCCTGATGTTTGTCTTAGTCTATTTAGCTCCTGGGACTGATTGTGCAACTGGGTCATTTCATGTTGCTTTGGGACTCTTTAACTTGAAAGTTAACTGTGGTCACCAGAGAAATGACCACAGGATTTTTCTCTGCTCTCTTTTGAATTAGAGCTCCATTTAAAAATGAAGGCCAGTTTTGCATATTGTTTTGAGAAGGATCTGGGAGAGTCAGAACTGTAAAAATGCTGCAGGTGCTGGTATTAGGGTCTTGAACTTTAGTAATGAATACTGTGATTTAGAAAAGGGTCCAGAAACATTGGGGAGTGGCTTATATTGCATGGATATTCTTGACAACTAAGACTAGATGGAATAGGACCACACTGGGAGGGGAGTAACCCAGGCTGTTTTTTTTTTTTTTTTTAACTTTCCTCCCCTAAGTTTTAGATGCTTCTGGATGTTCAATGCTAGCACCTTTACAGACTGGAGCAGCTCGATTTTCTTCATATTTACTTTCAAGAGCAAGAAAAGTGCTGGGCTCCCACTTATTTTCTCCCTGTGGTGTTCCGGAGTTCTGCTCCATATCCACCAGAAAGCTGGCGGCTCACGGCTTTGGCGCATCCATGGCGGCAATGGTGTCCTTCCCTCCCCAGAGGTATCACTACTTTTTAGTGCTGGACTTTGAGGCCACGTGTGACAAGCCACAGATTCATCCTCAGGTAACTCTTGTTTCATTGCTTCAGAAAAGGTGGGGTGGGCAAGGAGGGAGGGAGGAGAGTCTTGCTTCCTGGGACTCAGAGGTATTTTCTCATATCTTCCTGGCTTTTAACTTCTCATCTGGAGTTCTAGGAGGCGGGACTTGATCCAGGTATGCTAGGGCAAGGTAGACTGAAGAGTCTCTGGGGGAGAACTAGGCATATTGTTTCTCTTTGGCCTCAGCTTTTGGGGATGAAAACATTTCCTTCTCTCTCTTCTTTTTTCTTTTCCATTTCTTTCTTTCCTTTTGCCACTGCTGCTAGTTCTTCAAGGAGTACGTGGTAGCCAGCATCCAAGATGACCTCCAGTGATCTTTACCTCCTGGTATTCACATCCAGCAATAGAATATAGTGGAATAGAATATAGTGGAGGAAACAATGTGATTTCTGAGGCTAAGTTACAAAAAAATACAGCAGTTTGCTTTGGTCTTTTGGATCACATGCTCTGGTGGAAGCCAGAGTAGTAGCTGCCATGCTACTACAAGGCCACTTAAGCAGGTCTGTAGAGGCAGATGCGTATAGGAACTGAGGCTCTAATTCAAAAGCCAGTATCAACTTGCCAGTCATGTGCATCCACCACCCCTAGTCAAGCCTTCAGATGAATACACCCCCATTGGGCATCTGACTTCAACTTCAGGAGAGACCCTTAGCCACCTGAGCCACTCCTAAATTCCTGATTCAGAATAACTGTGATTATTGGTACGTTAAGCCACAAGTTTTGGGATGATGTGTTATGGTGTTTAACCTGAACAAATACCATTGTTGGTTTGTTGGAAAGGTAGATTCCTTAGCTTGCTTTTTTTCCTTAGTTACCTACTGTGTAAAAGACCTTTTACCTTTAAAGGTAAGGCTGCTAGGAAGCTTGGATTACCAGCAGAGAGGAAACTGGAGGGTACCATTGAGGTGCTTGGTATTTGCTTTAAGGAAATGATTGGGGGCTTGATGGGCAATTTGTTGTAATGTGAGAGCTTTGGGTATACTGGATGTAGGACTCACTCTTCCCTGTTATAGAATGTGTAATTTAATACGTAGACATGTTGATCAGGGAACAACTTTCATTAGTAAGCAGGATGGGGAGAAGAGAACCTCAGCATTGGGCACTTGGGAAGGAGGGAATAGTGGAGTCCATCCAGAGATAAACCGGCTTCATTTTTCATGGTTGTTTTTTCCAGGAAGGGATTTGTCTTTAAAATGGTGTATTATTTCACTTGAAGCAGATACCACAACCCCTGTTTCATTTCTCCTCTCCTCTTTATTCTCTGTTAAAGCAGTGGTTTACCTTTGGGGCATTGGAATCAGGCCTACTGAGGCCTTGGAGGACAGGGGCTGGATGAGGATAATGCCCCAAGAGAAGAAACTTTGAATGAAAGGGAACACAGCTTGGGAGCTACCCAAGCCACACTTGCTTTCTCTGCTTCTTGCTCCTGGCTATGCTCTAGCATCATCTTCTCTGCCTCATCTAGCTACTGAAGTTTCTCTGGCATGGTGGGCCTGCCTGAGTGGTGGGTTGTGGCTGGCTTTTGGTTGTATAGTCTCCCAAGTTGGGACTCTGTGATCCATATCTTATTATTATTATTATTATTTCCCTTACAGGTTAGGTTTCAGTCACTGAGTAAGCCTTAGTGGGACATGAGTCTACTCTCTAACATGTCTCTACTGCATATGATTCGTCCTTCTTCTGAACCTTCATAATTGCTTGACTTCTCCATTAGGGCATTTGCTGCTTCCTGCTTCCTGGCACATGCTTATGGATGTATGCTTCTTATCTTCACAGTTAGATTATAAGCTCCGATCATTATGTAGCTCTGTTCCCTTGTCTGGTGGAGGGTCCTGCTAAATTCCTGAAGTTGGAGCCTGGTTGATGTCTCAGTTTGGTCTGTGTCACCTTTCATTTCTTGTTCAAGGGCATTGTTCTTTTTTATTTATTTATTTGTGGCAATGCTGAAGACATAATGCAGTACAGATTAAATCACTTGTACCACCAACTTTCTTCCCAGACTTACCAAGACTTTCTAGACCCAGGCTGAGTTAGAGCTTCATGTTTGCCAGCTTCAGAGCCAGATTAAAGATTATCTCCAGAATCAATGAACCTTGATGATGTGATTCCAAGGGCATTTAAGGAATTGGCTGCCCTGGTTGATTATTAGCAAAGCATTAGCTGTTGCTTTAGAGAACTCAGGAAGGATCATTTGCTGTCTTGCTTATCTTTAAAAGGGGAATACGAATGATCTTGGAAATTATAGACCTGTTAGTTTACTGTGATTCCAGAGAAGATACTTGACCTGATCGTCAGATAATCAGCAAACATCTAGAAGAGCATGGGTACTGAATAATAACTTACATGGGTTTGTGAAGAAGAGCAAATCTTGTCAGATCAATTTAACTTCTTGCTGTGACATAGTGATGGATTTGAGTGGATCTAGGGCAAGCGACAAATTAATGCATCTCAACTTCATTAAGCCTCTACGATGCTGTGATCAACAGGTGGGCAGGTGAGTTTAGGGCTACGAACCTTTGTTGAACTACCCTTGTTCCACTCTCAGGAAGGGGATAGATAGTTTAAGGTTTGTTTTGTAGTGGCAATTTACAGCCCCACTACCCCCTGATCTTCTTTAAGGGGTGCTGGTAGCAAGATCCTGATAGGATTCAGACTAAGCTTAGAAGATGGATTAGAGAAGTCTTCAGTCCCAGACAGGGCAGTATCCTCCCAATGAAGTCATCATAGGTCACGTTCTCATTAGATCCTCTGTGCTGTTTAGGTCTTCTGGTCAGCAAGGAAAGTAGGGAAATTGGAAAAGTTTAGGATAAGAGAAACAAAAATAATTACAAGCAAAAAAAAAATAGAACTTAGTAAGAAAGAAATGGAATATAGTTTTGGAAGCTGATTTCTTATCCATTTTAAATAATTCCATCATTTAGGGAGTAATTATTCCTAGAAGCATAGTAATAACTTGCTGTTCATTTTCATAAAGACAAACAAGTGAATTTAAATGGAAGTAGGAAAGACTGAGATTTGGAGTAAAAAGGAACTTCCAGAAGAGATAGTAAAAGGACAAGAACTTGGTGTGCAAGTTCCATCAGCTTTCCTGATCTCAGAATGGCATGATGGCTGTCCACCTGACAGGTTTTTTTATGGCGTGCCTCCCGCATGTGGGAGTGGAATCATGACTGAGAACGGTCCTAGCTCCTCTCCTGACCAGCTCCCAGGAGCTTTCAGTACTCTGGATCTCTGCATAGTACACTTCTGATTCTTCTGGAGTGTGTCATGCCTTTGAATGTGTAAGAGGCAGAAACAAGCTTTGGGCCAGGTCTTGTTTGGAAGGTTGGCATGGGATCATTTTTCTCATCTGCCTCTGGTTTTCAGAAGTCCCTGAGTCAGCTTATGACTATCCTAAAGGAATGCCATCACAAAAAACTAACAGGTATAAGCTCTGTTGTACTTAGGTGAGTAACAATATTGGTTATAAATATGGTAAAACATCTGGTATTTTCCATTTGTCATCATTTTTGTTGTTTATTTTTGTACTTTGTTCAGCTAGGTGAAACTGGAGTGGTTGATTTGCCAGTAATAGGCTTTTGTGTTCTGGTTTTTGACCTCATTTTATCTTTTTTACATGTTTTGATTCAGATTAACATGATAAGTATTGGTTGAATATGAGACTTTTTCATTGGAAAACATTTTTTCACTTAAATGTTAATTTAAATTGTTTAAAATGTTTTAGATGGTGCTTGCTTCGGCAGCACATATACTAAAATGTTTTAGAGGCACCTTTCTTGTTTTAGAAATTGTTTTCTGATACAGAAGTAGATTTTTTATTTGATTTAGGAGAATCATGGCTCCTTTGTCCTTACTAGCTGGAGCTCACATTGCTCATTTTGGTGTGGATGTGCATTGAATGATGGTTGTTATGACCCTGAGCCCCAGAGAGCAGCCTGAAAGCTTCGGTGGGATCTTTAATTGTGCGTCTTTAACCTCAGGGCAAGTTTTCTCACCACCTCAGTGTTCAGAAGAGACCAAAGCAAATGTAAGTGAGGAAAATGAGGTATAGGCCACAGCGAGTGGGGAGGAGGAAGTAACCCCAACTGACTGGATGGCCAGGGAGGGAGGGGCAGCCCAGCTCTCCCCATCTGAGGAGCTGATGTCCTGGCCGCCATGTCCTGGCTGCTGCCTTCGTCCCTCCCCAGTCCTGTCTGGCTGTCCATCAGCCTCCTGGGTAGTGTTTTGCTCACTGCTCTACAGCAGCCCTGCCTACTGTTTTCCTTCTAATCTGTATTCAAGTGCCCATAACTTTGGAGAAAAATGACCTTTGGGGTTGAGGTTTTCTAATGTTTGGTCTTTGTCCACGGGGGCTTTTTTCTTTTTACAGAAACCTTGAAGAGACTCCATCTGCATTTTGAGTTAGAACTATGAGTAAAGGAGTTTCTCGTTTATAGAAAATTGTCCAGATGCTGAGCTATTTTTGGAGAGTAGAGTGGGGGAAGGGTTTATGGTGACAGGAGAAGGAATAATATAAAAGAGACGTTTGGAAGATTTCAGTATGACCTAAAGCTGGTACATCATGGCCAGTCTTTTGTGAAGGATACATTTTTGAAAACTTTACAGGAAATTGATTAAGATTCCCTACCAGTCAAACTACACTGATTCCCCTTTCTCCTAATTCAAGGCTGAAAAACAAGAGTCCCAACCCCCATCCCCAAAACCTACATAAATATTGCTCTTTCTTCCATATTTAGCTTGTCTCCTTCTCTCTGCTCTTGGTTCCTGCAGTCTCCAAGTAGACAGAAAGGCAGTGCCCTGGAAAGAACTCAACCTTCCCTCCCTGTTAGCTTGCCCTGGCTGCAGCTGCTCCAAGAGGGAGAGATTGGGCCAGAGTTTTTACAAGAGAGCCCAGTTGTTGGATTTTGGTTCCTCTGCCTGTGGCCCCGGTCAGCCTGTACTTCTTTCTGTACAAACAGGCGAAGGT